TAATATCTAAACTTTTGTGACTTCTTGTTCTTCCTGCATGGTTGGTAAATCATTTCATGGCTCAAATCCAAAATCACAGCTGTTTCCAGCTGCCTGTCAGGGTCTCAAATGCTTCTGACCTGGGCTTGGAACATCTGAAAATGTCTGAGGGACATTTTGAGTTTCAACAGTGGCCCACACTCCAGTGTGGAGGAGCTGTGGGGCAGAGAAGGGAGCTGTAATTGCTTGTCCTGGATGAATGATTGAAAATGGGATTCTAATAAAAGATGCAGGAAAGTTGCTCACCTTAGAGAGCTTCTGCCCAGCAGCTCGGGGTGGAGGAGCTGCCCCAGGGGTCAGAAACAACCCAGGGACGGCCAGGGACTCCTTTGTGTCCAAAGCCTCGTGCCAAGAACCATCACCCCCTCACACAACATTGTACCAACAAAGGTCAGACCATCACTCGGGGTGGCAGCAGGAGGCTGAGCCCTGGAGCAACAGGATGGATCTGCTCCTTCTCCCCTTGTTTCTGCCCCAGGAATGGTGACATCCATCTCCTCCTGGAGGCCCCAGCACCATTCCCTCAGCAGCGAGGCCCTAACACATGATCCTCTTATCAGTGATCTCCACAAAGGATCCCCTTATCAGTGATCCCCCATAAAGGATCCCCTTATCAGTGATCCCCCATAAAGGATCCCCTTATTAGTGAGCCCCCGACACAATCCCCTTATCAGTGACCCCCAAAGAAAGGATCCCCTTATCAGTGACCCCTCATGAAGGATCCCCTTATCAGTGACCCCCCTCAAAACACAATTCCCTTATCAGTGACCTCCCAACAAAGGATCCTCTTATCAGTGACCCCCCCATAAAGGATCCCCTTATTAATGAGTCTCCAACACACAATCCCCTCATCAGTGACCCCCCAACAAAGGATCCCCTTATCAGTGACCTCCCCACGTGACTCCCTTATCAGTGAGCCCCCCAAAACGCACATAATAACCTTATCAGTGACCTCCCATGTGATCCCCTTATCACCCCACGCTGCCAGTGCAGGATCCCAAGCACTGCAGTGACACCAAACTCCTTCCAGGAGAAAAACCACCACACTGCCAAGCAGCTGATTTTCATCCACCTTTACTTCTGGCTGAGCTGTCACAGGAGGGGTCAGGCAGAATCCCCCCCACACCGCTGGGGTTTGGGGCTCTGCTGTCATTGCCCTGTGACAGGGCAGGGCTGGGGGCACATCCTGCTGGCATCCCTGCAGCCTCTGCTCTGGGGGTGCTGCACACCACTGGCCATGGGCAAAGGGAGTCCCACACACCCAAATTCCTTATTCCAGCTCAGGAACTGCTTTGGGACCTTTATGGAAATGGTCAGAATTTGTACCAATATCACCAGGAGCATAACTTAGTTTCACAGTATAAAAATCTACTTCCCTGCTAGGATGAAATGGTTCCTGCTCTTCCCCTGGTATTCCATGGCCCACGGGTGCCAGGAGCATCTGACACACATTGGGAATCTTCTTTTTTTTTCCTGCCAACTAGAAATTTCTGGTCGTGAGACACTGATCAGGACGTTTTCTATCAATGTGCTTCTGTGCCGAGAGCAGATCCAGCAGGGATTTGCTGATATTTTCCAATCCCTGGGATACAGGATTTCCAGCAAAAATCAGTGGGAAGAAATCTTGTGGCCTTCACAGGAGGACCATGAGGGTTTTATTGTCAGGACCTGCACTGGATGGGTTTGATGTTGCTGGGGGGTGAGGCTGGTGCTTCAGGGGGTGCTGGTAGCTCTGGTTTTACATCTGCGAATGATAAGGATGGGAGAAAAGAGAGGGGTTTGGGATTAACCAAGGAGAAAGGTCCTGGAAGGGACAGTAAGTTCCTCTGAAAACCTCAGCTATCCTGACTGCAATTAAACACCCAGCAATTAACTGCAGAAAGGAGCTTTGCTCAAGAGAGGAGTTTGATTCCTCTCCCTGATACATCCAAGTGCTTGCCCTGATCTTCCTGGAGCCTCAGCAAAGTCCTGGCTCCCACTGCAGGATGGCAGCTGCTCCTCCCTTCTGCTTCCCCTTCACACACCCTTGATCAAGGCAGCAGTGAAGGGACACATCCCCTTTCCCTTCCCTGATCAGGATCCAGCTGTTACTTTAGGGGACAGGTGAAATTCTGACATATTTGAGGTCCCCCTGTGCACACAACTCCCCTTCCTCCCCTCCCACACAGCTCATGGGGGCAGAGGGGAGGGAATGGCTCAGCCCTGCGCCTTCCCCGGAGTCTCCAGGGACAGCTCCAAGCTCCTGGCAGAGGCAGGAGGTGACAGGCATGTGGCAGCTGCCGGGAATGTGCTCCTGCTCTGGAATGTTTGCTCAGGAGCCAGCAGGAGCCACTCAGCCAAACCAGTGAAACCAGTACGGGTGGGGCAGATCCCTGCCGTGCTGGGATTCTTCTGCCCGCTGCTCAAAGCTGAATTCACTTTGCCAGGGAGCTCTGACACCCGAGCAGCGCAGTCAGGTGATTCTGGAGAACTTTCCATGCCTTGGCTGGGGCAGGGAGAGGAGCCAGGATGGTCCTTGCTGCAGTCACCGTGCCAAATTGGGGCTGTGCTTTAGCTGCAAAGTCACTGTGGTTCAGGTGTGTGCTTTAAACGGACCAGGGAGGGCAGATTGGGAAGGAATCTCTCATTGCCAGTTCAGTGTATGGTGTTTTGGTGTTTGGCAGGGTTCTGGGTTACAGTGTCCCAGGGACACACAGCTCTGTGGGAGCAGGTGCCATCTCTTGTCCCCCTAATCCCACCCCAAAGCACGTTTGTCCCCTTTTCCAAAGGCTGCTATTTACTCCTCCCCTCTGCTGGGGTTGGAATGACATTTAACAACAAAACCCAAGAGAAATAAAGAAGGGGAGAAGAGAAACTTTTGCAGCTTGGTCCTGGGAGCACAGACAGAGAGTGTGGAGGTGCCTCCCACCCCTGGCTGAGCCCAGCTGAGCCCTGCCCCCCATCCCAGCAGGTTTGGGATGAGGAGGGTCCATGTCTGTGTCCCCTGAGCCCACACTTTGGTGCTGGCTTTGGGGCATGGGGGTGTCCCTGTCCGCTGAACCCACACTTACTCTGGTGCTGGCTTTGGGACATGTGTCCCTGTTCCCTGTCCCCACACTTACCCTTCTGCTGGTTTTGGGACATGGGGGTGTCCTAGTCCTCTGTCCCCACACTTACTCTGCTGCTGGCTTTGGGACATGTGTCCTAGTCCTCTGTCCCCACACTTACTCTGCTGCTGGCTTTGGGACATGGGGGTGTCCTAGTCCTCTGTCCCCACACTTACTCTGCGGCTGGCTTTGGGACATGTGTCCCTGTCCCCTGAGCCCACACTTACCCTGCTGCTGGTTTTTGGACATGGGGGTGTCCCAGTCCCCTGTCCCCACACTTACCCTGCTGCTGGTTTTGGGACATGGGGGTGCCCCAGTCCCCTGTCCCCACACTTACCCTGCTAATGGTTTTGGGACATGGGGGTGTCCCAGTCCCCTGTCCCCACACTTACCCTGCTGCTGTTTTTGGGGCGCTGCCTGCGCCGGGCAGGGCGGTGGCTCCCGGGGCTCCCGGCTGCACAGGCTCCTCATCCTGCTGGCCACATAGCGGCAGGCTGGGGGGACAGGGGACACCTTTGTGGCACTGGGAAACAGCAGCTCCCCCAACCCAGCCTCCCCAGCCCGCCGGACCCCAGCACGGAGAGGGAGGGACTGGATTCACCGGGACAAACGGGACTCGTTTCCCTGCCTGCCGTCCTGGCTGTGTTCCAAGCCCCTCCAGCACCAGCCTGGCTCCCCCCACCAGCCAAGGCGTGAAAAACGCAGAGTATTTCCCCTCTAAGCTCTCTCCCCAAGGCAGAGGTTTCCTTACCGTTGATTATTACTCAAACCATTTTCCCGTGGGCTCGGCGAGCGCGTCCTTCGCAGCCGGCCCGGCTGTGCCGCTCTCTGCAGTGCTGACTCGGCAGCTCGGCTTCCTCCTCCTCCTCCTCTTCCTCCTCCTCCTCCTCCTCCTCCTCCCCTCCTCGCTGCCTGGCTCTCTCCCACGGGATGCTGCTGTCGGTCACACGCGGGGACGGGCTCAGCACCTGGGATGCCTGCCCGGGAATCCACAGAATCACAGAATCACTTGGAAGGGACCTTCGAGATCATCGATCTCGACCTTCTAATCACTTGGAAGAGACCTTCGAGATCGAGTCCAACCCAGCCCCAGCCCCTCACCTAAACCCTGGCACCCAGTGCCACATCCAGGCTTTGTTAAACACACCCAGGGATGGTGACTCCACCACCTCCCCGGCCAGCCATTCCAGAACTTTATCACTCATTCTGTACAAAACTTATTCCTAATATCCAACCTAAATTTCCCTTGGTGCAGCTGGAGGCTGTGTGCTCTGGTTCTGTCAGTGCTGCCTGGAGAAAGAGCCGAGCCCCTGCCCCTCCCGGGAAGTTTAAAGCTCTCAGTGCTGGCTTAGGGCAGCTGCTCCAAGGTTTGAGGGAAGGAAAAAGAGAAGTGACCTGGCCTTGGCTGGAGGGGTAGTTGCTCTTTCTTTGTGGCTGTTGAAGCTGGGTTTGGGATGCGGGAGGTGAACCTTGTGCTGTGATCCCGAACTCAGCTGGAGGGGGTCCCTGCAGTGAGCACTGAGCTTGTGTGGGGCAGGAGTGAGGAAAGGAACCTTCCCTCTCCTTTGCTGCTGCTCTCTCAGCGCTGCAGGGACTGTTTGAGGATCACAGGATGGTTTGGGTTGGAAGGGACCTAAAAGATCATCCAGTTTCAACCCCTCTGCCATGGGTAGGAACACCTTCTACTGTCTTTCTGTCCCCTAGGGACACCTCCCACTGTCCTTCTGTCCTCCCCAGAGGCCCTTCAATCCCTCTGATACCCATTGCATGGTGGGGGGTGGGTAGGGGTGACAATCCCTAAGAGACAAAACGTAGGCAGAGGATTGTCCATGGTTTTCCCAGGGTGTTTACCCCATTCCACCTGCAGAGCACTGATTTAGCCCTGACTAAAGCCAGCTGAAGAAATGTAACTTTTGTGCATCCTTTGCCAGACCTTGCTGCTGATTGTGCTTTTCTGTGCTCTTTAGTCCCAGTCAGGTGAATTCTGAAAGCTCCTGCTTCCCTCTCTGGCCAGGGCAATGTGCTTCCCTCTCTGGCCAGGGCAATGTGCTTCCCTTCCTGTCTCTGCACCAAGCAGACATTGATCCAGGCAGGACAGACTTTGGTTTCCACAGCCTTGCACTTTGTGGTTTTTTGCATCAGGCAGCTCGAGCCCATGGTTTCTGTGGAGCAGCACCCAGAGCTCCAGGATTTTGGAAAAAGCACGGCAGTTCTCCCAGTGCTGATGTAAAGCCAGTTTTACTGACAAGTAGACTCCCCATCCTCTTGATTCTACTGCAGATGTGCAAAAATCTCTAAAAAATGAGTTGTCACATTAATCCATGTGCTCCAAACAACCTGTCATCCATTCCAAATCTACTGCCCCTATGTGAGGCTGGTTGGAGATGGACCTGGAGTGCAGGAATTGCCTCTGACAGTGGAATATTCCCAGTCACGGAGACCCCAGAGCCTCCCTGGGCTCTGCCAGGGCTGGCACTGCCCAGGGCAGCAGTTCTGCCTCCTGGGCAGGGAATTGCTGGGCTCAGCCCTGCCCGGGGCTCTGGGGCCATCGCTGGGCCTGGAGCAGAGCCTGGGGCTGCTCTGAGTGCTGCACACAGGGACAGACTGGGGGACATGGGGACAGACAGACAGGGACAGACTGGGGGACACGGGGACAGACAGACAGGGACACCCATGGACACACAGGAACAGCCAGGAACACCCACAGACAGACAGGGACAGACTGGGGGACAGGGGGACAGACAGACAGGGACACCCATGGACACACAGGGACAGCCAGGAACACCCACAGACAGACAGGGACAGACTGGGACAGACTGGGGGACACAGGGACAGACTGGGGGACACAGGGACAGACAGACAGAGACTCCCAGGGACACAGAGGGACACCCAGGAACACTCAGGGACACCCAGGGACACACAGGAACACACAGGGACAGCCAGCCAGGGACAGATAGACAGGGACAGACAGACAAGGACACCCAGGGACAGACAGGGACAGATAGACAGGGACACACAGGGACAGACAGGGACACCCAGGGACACCCAGGGTCACCCAGGGACACCCAGGACAGCCAGGGCTGAGGCCCCTCTCCCTGGGGCTCCTCTCCAGGCTGAGCAGCCCCAGCTCCCTCAGCCTTTCCTGGGCACTGAGATGCTCCAGCCCCTTGCTCATGTCTGCAGCCTCTGCTGGTTCCATTCCAGGAGCTCCCTGTCCCTGCTGTGCTGAGGAGCCCAAGTGGACATGGCACTCCAGATGTGGACTCTGTTGAGACCTGCAAGATCTGTAGGTGTTAAAAAATATCAAGAAAAAAAAAAAAAAACCCAAACCCTGAACAAGACCCCCCAGACCTCCCCCTTGCACCTCCCCACCTCCAGTCCCTCTGGAGGACCCACTGTTCCAGTTCCCAGATGAGCTCGGCAGCACAAGGGGGATGACTGAGCCTTGTGAAGGTGCCTGGAGGGGTGCAGTGCTCCTCTGAGGTTTGGCTTCCCCAGGCTCCACACCCTGTGCGTGGGTGCTCTCCTCTGGGGTGTGCAGACACATCCCTCTAGATGGTGCTAAGATAAAGAGAAAAGGTGGGTGGTGAGAGGCTAGGGAGGACGGGCTGCCCCTCTGGGCACTGCCCGAGGTCTCCTGGGTGAGGAGATCATCTCCCTCTCCCTTTTCCACCACTCCTGCAGGTGCTCGTTGTGTCTACTGGCAGCAAACACATCTCAGATTCTTCTTCTACTTCTAATTTCCCTTGCTGGTGTGTGAGACTCCACAAATCCATCGTGACTAATCAGTGCATCTGCTCCCATCCATGCACGAGACCAGACAAGTGGGTTTTTAATGGCAAAAATCCATCTTGGCTGTTTTTCCCTCTTCCACCAGGTTTTACTGAGCAGCGCAACCATCAGCTAAGTCCTTTTCTATCTCATGGAACATTAACCAGAATCTTCACCAAATTCACGCATAGATTATGTATGATTTATTGATGTGGGCAATCAAGAGAGAATCCAGCCTGGCTGCCAGAGAACAGCAAGGATCATGAGGATTAGTGTGAAGGGAAGTCTTTTAGATCCACGGCCGAGCAGGTTTCACTTTGGAGTCTCACATGGGCCGTAAATGAGCTGTTGAGAGAGAGCTGCCGTTTGAAGAGACTTTAAAAAGGAATAGCCCTGTTCAGGTCTGGTTTCTTTTCCCATTAAATATAAAACGTGGAGAACAACTCTGTGAAGCTGTGAAGCAGGAGAATGGAGCTCCTCTCCCCTCTGCAGAGGGAGATGATTTCCTGCACCTTGATGGCCCCAGGGAACAGCCTGCAGTGGTGGGAATGGCTGTGGCACCATGGCAGGAATCTCCTTGGCACCAGCAGGGCTGGAATTGAGGAGCCTCCAGCTGCCCTCCAGGTGTGTGAGCAAAGCCCAGCCTGCAGGTGGGTTTTGGTGCCAGTCCAGCCTCCAGGTGGGTTTTGGTGCCAATCCTGTTGCTGTGCACTCAGCCCTGGCAGCTGCCCCACTGTCCCCACTTCCCTCACCCACAGACAGAGGCTGTGACATGTTTTAATTACTCCCCCATCTAGATTGGTTGGCCTGAGCTTTGTATGTGGTTTCTACTGATATGCTGCAGAAAGATTCCTTTTGCCAAGTTTTCTTTCCAAGAATGGCTCAGCTCCATTTGTGATGAACCCATAAACTGGATTAAGAGCTCAGGGACCGATTTTCTAGCATTTGAAACCCATAATCTGGGCTGGGTTTCCAGAACAGCTCAGTCCCCTTGTAAGCAGCAAATTACAGCCAGAAGTGCTCAGCATTTTGTGGTTTGTGTCAGGCAGGCTGCTCGAGCCCATAGTTTCTGTGGAGCAGCACCCAGAGCTCCAGGATTTTGGAAAAAGCAGGGCAGTTCTCCCAGTGCTGATGTAAAAACAGAATTTTACTGACAAGACTCCCCAGCCTCTTGATTCTATTGCAGATGTGCAAAAATCTCTAAAAAATGAGTTGTCACATTAATCCATGTGCTGCAAACAACCTGTCATCCATTCCAGTTCCTACTGCCCATGAGCAGTATCAACATTCACAATATTACCTGAACTTCCTGAGGGATCTCATCTCCAGCCACCAGCCAGCCTGATGCCATTTCAGACCCTCTCCATGACCTGTGTCTTCTGCACAAAGCTGAATTAATCCAGAGATGTTCCAAGGAGTGTTGTGGAGCTAAATCACAGACTTACAGTTTTGGGTTGGAAGGAACCTCAAAGCCCATCCATGCCACCCCTGCCATGGCAGGGACACCTCCCACTGTCCCAGGCTGCTCCAAGCCCTGTCCAGCCTGGCCTTGGACACCTCCAATGATCCAGAGGAAGCCCCAACTTCTCTGGGCACTCTGTGCCAGGGCCTTCCCACCCTCACAGGGAAAAATTTCTTTCTAAAATCCAACCTCTCCCTACTTCTCTGTCATTTTACAACCATTTTTCCTTGTCCCATCACTCCAGACCCCCTTCCAAAGCCCCTCTCCAGCTCCCTCAGAGCCCTTTAAGAGAAATGCCCCAAATTTCCCCAGTTTGTTGGTGGATTTTACCCTCACCACTGCTACACCAGAACTCCAGCTCAGCTCCATGGTGAACCTTTCATGAAACACCAGCTTGCTGAAGAGGGAATAACCAGGGGAGGTGCAGTTGGGGATCTGATGCAGTTCAGAAGAAAGTCCAGTGTCCCCACAGGGTTTCCTGCAGAGGCCTGGCATGAGGGGCAGAGGGGTCTCAGTGCCCAGGAGCCCCTTGCAATGGCAATCCATGACTGTGGATGACAGGACATGGAGAAGGATTGGTTTGGGAGCCAAAGCTGGCACTGTGCTTCTCTGGATGCTTTGTTCTTGGCATGGA